AGTTACTACTGTGAATTGACCCTCAAAAGTTTGGGATCAGATAGTTAGGGTAAGGGATGCCTTATCATGACTTGAGCTCCGCCATATCAATTTTTTTCAAGTAGGAGACCCACAAAATTGGGAAATTAAATTGACTTCAGTTAAATATTACACAATTTGTTATTATTATTTATTATTTATATTATTATTTCAGATATGAAATAAACTTGAGAGATTGATATTTTTCATTATTATGTCTGGAAATGGTTATAGTTTAAACATCTCAATATTACTGAGAATTATCTCACATTTATTTATTTTGTGCTAACCTTTCCAGAAAACCATCATGCCTAACTTATTTTTTTTCTGGAGAAGGATGGATTGTGAATATTTATTTTTATGGCGATCGTTGGAAATTTTACATAATAGTTGAAAACTAAGGAGCAACAGCCATATTCCATGCAGGCAGTATGAAGTCCTACACCTATAAGCTAGACTAGAATGAGAAGTATGCAGAATAAACATTGTAACCTGATGTAGTTAGGAATGTAATATATGTGAGGAACTGATGTAAAACATTTAGAGTGTAAAATATTTGTACTGACTTCCATCCATGTATAAACAATGAAGGATGTTAGTATTCCAAGTTAATATTTATAGATTTATTTTCTCAGATATTTTTATTTATTTATTATTACTATTAAATATATTTAAATATTAAGAGGATGTTACAAGATTGACAAATTAATAATGGACATCACAATATTTTTTTTTTAATGTTATTCATGAATGGAGACGAATTCAACATGAAAAAAATTCTAATTATGTCCGGTATTAATTCACCAATTTGAATTCATTAGTGGAGATCATGGTAGTTAAAATCAAAATTTTACCTAAAATTGAAAGGAGGATAAAAAATCATAAAACGTAAAATCCTAACGTAAAAAAATTGTAAAAATTCATGAAAACGTAAAAGCGTTTGAAATTTTGATAAAATCATCTTGATTAAAAAAATAATAAAATCATAAAAAATAGATTTAAATTGAGATTTTAATTACCAAGACGAATTAACGTAGACAAAAATAACACGTCGTGTTTAAAATTATCATCCGTATCTACAATGCTTTCCTCACTGGCTCGTATGGCTTAATTAAAATACGTTACTATCTTATAATGCCTTGATAGTATTAATGAGTTATGACAACATTAAATTACATTATTTTTTCTATATAAAATAAGTTGTCATTCTATGTATCCATCCCACCTTCATTTATGGTACTTTTTCAAATTCAAAGGAAACTTATTAATTGTCATTAATTTATCAATTAATTATTAGGATTGGTGGAACACAGCTTGTCTCTTCAGTGGCGACACATGTCATTCATGCCACAAATAAGGTAAATACATTTTAATATATATATATATAGGGAAATAATTTTCTTATGTTGTAGGAAAATGCTTATCTTATGTTGTAGAAACAAGATTATAAGTGGGACCCATAGGTAAGAGGAGAGAGAAAAAAAAGAAATGGGACCCACCTAGCTTTTGTGTGTGTAGGAAATGTAGTTATCTTATGTAAAAGTAGATAAATATAACCCATATATATATACATATATATATATGTGTGTAATATTAATACTTCTTAAGTTATAGGAGATAATTTTATCTCCTACATACATATAAAAGTATATGAAAAATATTATTTTTATGTGTATGTAGGAGATAAACTTATTTCATATAACATAAGAAACATTAATCCCGATATATATAGGAAAAATTTATCTCATATAACTATGAAATATTAATCCCAATATATATACATATATATATATATATATATATGTATGTATGTATGAGAAAAATATTTATCCAGTCAAGTTATCTCCAGTAAGCTCAAAACGACGTTGTTTTGGAGTTATAAGATTAAAAAATTATAATGATAAAAACTAATATAACTTTGCACATATTAGAATTACAAAAAAACCTTGATTTCCGTTCCAAAATGACGTCATTTTAGACTCACCCGAGATAACTTATCTCTATTAACAGGAGAAACCCTTTACCGTGTATATATATATATATATATATATATATATATATATATATATATATATATTCTTACACCAGTAGAAGTCTTACCCTCAATCTTGATCATTGATTCACTTATATCCAATGGCTCACATTACTAAAAAATTTGAGCTTTTAGATATCATATAAGTGGGGTTAACGAACAAGATTAACCCAATGGGTGCAGCTCAGTTGGTAACTTGGCGCTGAGTTAGTGGGGTTGGATATGTGTTCGATTCCCGCTGAATGCATTCTTGGGGAGGGGGCTGAACCTTTAGCCATCACTGTTCCCCCGCACTCCGGATTAGTCCCATAGCCGGCTCAAAGAGTCGAAGCTCGTGGGGATACCGGAGGAAGCCAACTCGTCTCAAAGAGATAATTAGGGTTGGGTAACTCCAAAAAAAAAGAAAAAAGATTAAGAGTGTAACTTACACTGATGTAAAATGATCCTGACATATATATATGTATATATATATAGGATTCGCTTTTTCTACAGTCAATGTAGATAACTTATCTACAGTGAGCTCAAAATGACGTCGTTTTGAGGCAGAAATCAAGTTATTTTTGTAATTATAATTTATTTCAGTGTTATAATAATATTTTTCATTATAATTTTTAATTTTTCGACCCAAAACGACGTCGTTTTGGGAGTGAATGTAGATAACTTATCTACATTCACTTTAGAAACATTAAAGCCATATATATATATATATATATATATATATATATATATATTATAGAATAATATTTTTGTTCTTGTTGCTTACATTTTTTCTCTGCCACACTCACATAAAAGTGAGTAGGGCCCATTTTAAAATGAAAAGAAAAAAGAACTTAACGTGATCCATTCACTTTTATATAAGTGTAGGAAAAAAAACATTTTGCTACAAAATCAGATATGTTAAACCCAAAGTTTTATTATGGTAGTTTCATCTCATACTCCAAGATAAGGAAAGAAAAATGAGAGTAGTAAATGAAATGGGATGATATAAACTTCAACCCATTCCTTTAAATTTATTTTAATTTTAAAAAATTAAAATAATGACAATTGATTGTATTTAATTGTGTTTTTTCGTTGAATCTATCTCCGCAAATTTAAATATATTTTAACAAAGGGGAATAATTCGTTTATAATTTTTTTTATAATTTTTTGTAAATTATACTATGTACTCCCGAAAGTACATGATATAACTAAGTGTATTTCAGGAAATACTAGTATAGTTTGTAAGAACTTGTAAATAAAAATTTGTGAATATAACCCTCCCAAAATGTAAATATATATTTACTTTTTTTTACCTTATTTGTCGCATGAATGACATGTGGTAGCACTCACGAGAGAAGTTGTGTTCCACCAATTCTAATAATTAAATTATAAATATTTATTAATTGATAAATTAATGACAATTAATAAATACCCTTTGAATTTGAAAAAGTACCGTAAATGAGGGTGAGGTGGATAAATAGAATGACAATTTATTTTATATAGAAAAAAATCATGTAATTTAATGATGAGGGTGAGGTGGATAAATAGAATGACAATTTATTTTATATAGAAAAAAATCATGTAATTTAATGGTGTCATAACTCATAATACAACTAAGGCATTATAAGATAATTAAGTCATTTGAACAAGTGAGGGAAGCATCATAGATCGGGATGATAATTTTAAACACCACATCAGATTTTTTGTGAATAATTTTCTAGTGAGGGAAGCATATATATATATATATATATATATATATATATATATATATATATATATATATATATATGAGAAAAACTATTCTACCTATCTTTTTTTCATTTCTACTGTACTTATTTAGTTTTTTACCTATCTTTTTTCCATTTCTACTGTACTTATTTATTTCCTACACCGTAAGATTAGATATGAACTAATCTTTATCATTTTTCTCTCCTCTTTATATTCTGAATAACCATGTTGAAAATTAGTAGATATAGAAGAAGGTTGGTACAATACACTATCCTTACATTTATATATATGGTAAAATTATTTTTGTGGCTGCTAGATATCCAGCAATAAATTTTACACTGTTGATTTGTTATGATTCTCCACATTTAATGCTTTCATCCACTTTTGTATGATTATGATTCTCCAAATTTATTTGCTAGAAGTCAAGCAACTAGAGAAATGTAAATCCATATTTATATATATATATGTGTGTGTGTGTGGGGGAGCGGTTTAACATGCAGAATTTTTATTTTTGTTACACTTATATAGATGTGAGTGGATCCAGTAACTTTTTCTCTATTTTTGAAAAAAATATCTATAGCAAAAATATAAATATTTTTTTCCTAAAACTTTAACACTTATAAGGGATATATATATTCTATCTACTTTTTTCACGCCAACTTTATCTACTATCTCTAACACCATTAAATCAGAATCTCAACTAGCCTTTATCATTTTTCTCTCCTATTTGAGATTTTAATTTAACTATGTTGGAGATTGATATGCAAGATAGACATGAAAAAAAAGAAAGATAGAATAACCTATCCCTACTTATACTATCGTTTTTTTCTTAAATAGTAAAATAAAAAATTTATTTTGTTTTATAGTAATCCAAACGATATTATTACAATAAGAGTAAAGCCTTTTTCGGGTCACTAACAAAAAAATACTGTCCCACTTTCTTTCTTTACGAAAAAAGTCAACTTTTGATCAATAAAAACCCAATTTAATCCCAAAAAAAAGGACTAATATAAGTATTGTTTTTTTGTAAGGGACAAAAGTGAACACCGTGTTTTTTATTAGGGATGAAAAAGGACTTTACTTTTACAATAATTTTAAAACTAGTTAAAACTTAAAAAGTTTAATTTCAGGGTTAAAAAAAAGAGAAACAAAAAGAAGGAGACAGAAAAAGATTTTTGCAAAATCAAGGGCAGGTTGGGTATAAGAGGACAATTACCAAGGTATTGTCCTAGTCCTCCTTTCTCCTTCTCGTCTCAACCACTGTGAAATCCCCTCTTTCAGTTTCAGCACTGAATCAACATACAGCAGGATTTTGGTCAGGCTCCATCACTTGGTGTTCCCTTTCCCATTAACCTCGTATCCACTGGTATGCATGTGTCTAATCCTCAATTTCTTCGACCCATATCTTTAAAAACTTTTACCTGATGGAAACCTTTACCTAATTTTCTTTATATGGGGATGAAAAAGATTCAATCTTGGAGCTGTCTTGTTGATGGGACTTCTGTTTCGTGTTAATTTGAACGTTTTTGAGGCACATTGTTTTGGTTTTCTAGTTTTATAGTCTTTATCTACATTTTATTTTTTAATTCTAACATAGGGGCACCTATATCTAGATTTTGATGTGAAGTCCTGCCTGTGATTAGCGTCTCAGTTTTTGAGTGTCCTGGTTTGAAATGAAATTTACTATTTATCCAGGGAATTATGATCATAACCCGTGGTTATGTGGGTTGTAATTGGTTATTGTTCTTTTTTTATAATGTTATATTGGGGGATGCTATGATACTAATAACTCTTTCCTCTTGTTGATTGCATTAGTCTGTGGAGGTGGAGGTTACTTCTCTGCTGAAATGTCCAATAATCCGCAATATCCTGGTTTACAGGTAGAATATCTAGAAGTATGGAACTTTGGTTATACAAACCTTCTTATTTTAATGTTTTTTCTTTTGTTCTGCAAGCCTCTTCGGCCTCCTATTGCTGGTTCAATGGATCCTCAACGCAATTTTGTTCCACCAATGCCTGTTCAAGTAATGCATTTTTTTTTCTAGCTGTAATTGTATAAGTTCTAGGTCAACTTATCATCTATGTGAATAAACCTATTTGTGTGTGCAGTTCCGACCTGTTGTTCCTCCTCAGCAGCCGCAACAGTTCATTTCCATGCCTTCTCAACATTACCAACCGGTTGGTCCTGGTGTTCCCATGATTAATGTTGGAATGCCTCCTCAAAATCAGCAACCCCAATTTGCTCAACCAATTCAACAGTTACCTCCAAGGCCTAGTCAGCAGTTACCACTCCCATCACATCCGATTCCATTGCCAGTTGCTCGGCCAAACATGCACATGCAATCTGAATCTATGATACCTCTACCTGATTCTCAAGCTCCAAATGGATACCCACCAGGTGGGCCAGGAATACCATTCTCTTCATCATATACGGTAAGGTTCTGGCTTGTATTTTTACTGGACAAATTAAGACTCCAATATGCATGTATTGATTTAAGAATTGCATTTGTGCAGTTTGCATCATCCTGTTATGGTCAAGTGCAAAATAATTTTACTTCTACCAGCCATTACCAACCTGTTCCTCAAATGCATGCTCTCACTGGTTCTTCGTCCCAGAGCATTACATCTGGTACAACTCTCCAGAGCAATGGTGAACAACCTCCAGTTTCAACTGTCACGCCTTCAGTATGACTCTTACTTATTTTTGACTTCGTGCTGATTCTGTGTTTTGCCTCTTATATCAGCGGAGTTTTTATGCATTCTTAATTTCTTTCTTTCAGGCAACCATTGTCCAGTCACACCTTGCTAAGGATGGCTCCACAGATTGGATTGAGCATACTGCTGCTACTGGAAGAAGGTAAATTGATAGGGTAGCCAAATACCAATAGTAGGCAAATTCCCAAGAGATCAGAGAGGAAATAACTCTAAATTGTCATTAACAATTGCAAAGGAAATTACATGCAACCTGAATCTTAATTCAAGTGTTTAGGGAAAGCTAAAAATGCATAAATAAAACAAAGGAAGGAATCAACTCCTCCAATGGAGGCACCAGCACTCCAAGACAGCAACCTTACTGCCCAAAATCACTCAAAATTCTTCTCTGTGCCTACCTCCTTTTCTCCCAGCCTAATTATTCTCTCTTCTAATGGTTTCTCCCTTCTTCATCACGTTCTTACCCCCACTTTCTTGAGGAGTTAATCCCATATACTCTCGCTCATCCTTCCCTGTGTACATTCATTTGACTAGGGGCCTATCAAAATGATTCAAATGTTTGCTTGTAATCCTAGGTTACAGTGCTGTTGATATCTTGTTCTTAGCCAAGTGATGCTAGCTGCAATTAAAAAGGATAATTGTTTAGTAGGGAGGAAAGCAAATGAATGAAAAAGCAATGTATGTGATGGATTAAAATGAGCATTGTTAGAATTTTGTGCCTGGCTTCATTCTGCTGGGTAAAATCTTTGTATTTTACTAGTGCCATTTTCCTCCTATCATGGGCTCCTAGTATGCTTTGGGTATAGTTTTCCCCTGATGGTTAATTAAATAGTTGTCAAAAATAAAAAAGATCTTAGCTTTTGTAGATTTAGCTAATACTTTATTTTCAATTAAAGATTGTATAATTGATTTTACTTAAACTGGCTATCCAACTTGTTTACAGTCAAGAGATTGTTATAATGATATTACTCAAGCTACTAATTGCTACATGTTTACTTCTTTCTCCTTCTTAATTTTGGTTCTAATAAGTAAAATGTTAATTTATTGAACCATCTATAAAATGACAATTTCCTTTAGTATACATTATATAGACTGTTCCCCTTGCTTGATGTCGCCAATAGTTATAATTGTCTTCAAATCTCACGGTTCAAACTTTTACTTTATTTTGCAGATTTTACTACAATAGGAAGACAAAACTATCTAGTTGGGAGAAGCCTTTTGAATTGATGACACCAATTGAGGTGAGTCATACAATTGATTTTGATTTCATGTTATTGTTTGACTTGTTAGTCATACCATGAGATCTTTTGTTCTTTTATGGTTTCTGGTGAAAGTTGGAATGTGCATACCACGAGATCTTTTGGTCTAGTACAATATTAACTGGGTCAACATATTCAAGTTTAATTGTTATATGCTTTCTATTTGTCCAAGTCTGGTGAAAAAATCTGCTCCATTAGCTCACTCATTACTGAACGGGTTTTCTCTCAGGCAGGCAACCATCAATCTTGACTTTTACGTCTTATTGTAAGGTCAGTGTTGTGACAATTGCCGGTTGGACCGTCTGATATCAGCTTTGTTTGTTTTCTTTGGATGATTCTGTAGAAGAATTTTCTCTTACATTTGTTTTTTAAAATCTAGAATAAAAGGTCTGCCCTATAAATGAGAAACAATGACAAAAGACAGTTGATGTCGTCTTAAGATTATTTTCAGTATCTATTTTCTTAATAAAAAATAAAAAACATTCTTTATTCCTTGGGGTTTCTTTCTTTGTGGATGGGGGCTTTGGAAATTATTTGTTGACTTCTCTCTTATGGTTGCTTATATGTGTTACATAGAAAGGTTATGTCCCTTTGTTTAGATTTGCTTCTAAAAAGAAGGTTCTCTTTCAATGAACTCTAAGATAAGCATTCCAGTATATCCATTTGGTAAAGATTTTTAGCATATGATGGTTTTCTTGTCTTTTATTAGTATCACTCCTAGCACTTCGAAGTTGGTGACTTTTTTAATGCCTTAAGGACTTCTATCTTTCGATTTTACTTTAAATGCGTGACTCCCATAGCTTTAAGATGCTTACAGGTACATGCTGTACTACTCTTTTGAGAGGTAGGATATGCTGTTGGTCTTTGCTGCTTGCTCTACCTACTATATTGCTTGAATGTTAGTAAATTCTATCATTGTATTACTGTCTTGATTGTTAATTCCTTTGTCTGGAATTTTCTCATTATCTGATATAGCTGTTGTGTACCACGTATTAAGCAATCAAGGAAATAATATCTCTAATGTAATTACTAACATAGAAGTTGTCTTGTTAGTAATTGATCCTTTACCTTACCCCATTATTTCCTTGATTTGCTGTTCTTTCTTTCACATTCTTACTTTGGTAATTTGAATTTCTAATTTCTGTTATGATGTAGAGATCATTATTCTTTTGGAAGGAAATCTCTTTATGAAAAATTATCCACATATTTCATTTTTGTCATTTTGTTAGAGGGTCGATGCATCAACAAACTGGAAGGAGTTTGCTAGTCCCGATGGAAGAAAGTGGGTCTTCATTACATTAATTTTTCTTTTTTTTCCTTCTGTTTTTAATGTTCATTGCTGATTTTTTCTTTTATTAAATGAATATTCTGTAGGTATTACTACAACAAGATCACCAAGGAATCAAAATGGTTAATTCCTGAGGAACTGAAGGTTTGCACCACTGAAAATAATGATGTTTTAATTATTCATTTCGTTATTTTGTGCCTCTAATTCTTAAACTCTTATCACTTTTCTGCAAATTTTGTACTTCAAGTTGGCCCGTGAGCAAGTTGAAAAGGCATTTGTCAATGGATCACGTCCTGAAGCATTACCGAATTCTCATACTCAACCCTCTGCAACTCCTGTGATTGAAGCAACACCTAGTGCAGATAATTCATCTTTAACTGGTCAAGGAGAACCATCAAGTCCTGTTTCAGTTGCTCCTGTTGTTACTACATCTATAAATAATCTACAATCTGAGATGACTTCTGGATCATCTGCCTCTCCTTCTGCAACCCCTATAAATGGAACAAGAGTGGATGAAGTTGAGGCACCTGTAAATGCTGTCACACCATCAGATGCTAGTGTGGGAAGTGATAGAGCTTTTGTTACTGATGTTAATACTGCTAAAACACCAACGTACCTATTCTGCTTTTCTGTGTTCAGTCTTTGATTTTTTTTTTGTCTGGTGGCAGTCATTTTTATTTTGTTTGTGGTAAATATTGTAGGAATGATGCCAACAACTCTTCAGCTCAAGATACTCCAGGTTTTACAGATGCAGTTCCAGCTGAAGATAAAGAGGTATGCTTTTCTAATTGTAGTCTTAATGTGTCTCTGATGAGTTTTGCTTCTGGTGTTTTGCAAGCTGATTAGTCTTGAATTCTGTAGGATGATAAAAATGATTCAATAGGGGAGAAAACTAATGATGTGGCCCCAGAAACAAAGGCAGTTGAGCCAGAACCCTTAGTTTATGCGAATAAGATGGTATGAGGATGAAATATCATTATTTTAACTCTCTTTATCTCTATATATCTATCTATGTTATGTTCGTGGGCATTGAGCATTTGTTATGATACATTTCCTTATTAGGAGGCTAAAGAAGCATTCAAAGCACTCTTGGAGTCTGTAAATGTTGGATCTGACTGGACTTGGGATCGGGTAGAGTGATTTCATTGATATATTTTAATGTCACTTACCTATTGTGACTTTTTTTTATTTATTAAATGTTTCTCTTGTTTATTTGATATGCTTGACACTGACAATTCTGTGTTTCAGGCTATGCGATTAATAATTAATGACAAAAGGTACGGTGCCTTAAAAACACTTGGAGAAAGGAAACAAGCTTTCAATGAGGTAATTTGGTAGTTCCCGCAAGAGAAATTACACACAAATGCAGTAGAACAGAGCAAATTGTAAGAACTCATTGTAATATAGTATATTCATTCAAATATGGAAATCTTTAGATGAATTACAATGGAATACGATAGGTGGAAAATAACAAGAAAATAACTACAGATTATTTCCTCTCTCTAAAACTCTCTGTTTTAACAACTTTCTTACCCTACTACTCTTGCCTCTCTGGAGACAATGCAGTTCTAACTTCTAACCACATTTCCCGCCTCAGTACATCCCACGTTGGTTGTTGCTTGTGTGGGTTTAAATCCCCTGCCCTGTCTCCTAGAATATACCTGAGTGATAGGAGGCCTAACATAATTCTTATGTAACGTTGGAGTGAATCATAATACTTTATCCTCCTTTTATGTTTACTGCTTGTTTGTTTTTCCTCTTATGTGCAAATTGCTTTAGCTCACGTGTCTCATCTGCAAGGTGCAACTCTCAATTGGTTGTTCTATTTGTAAAGTGTCTTGAGTGAGTGCCAATCAGCTTTCATATTTATTTATCAATTGCATGGGTAATAGAGAAGGAAAAATTGTATGAAGATAATTGCTTTTTAGTAATCATGTGAGTTCTCTATTGAGTTTGTTGGAGTGGATTTGTGATAAAAAATTAAGGGAAGACAGCTGGATGAAATCAAATTGTAATATAATTACTGAATTAATAATGTTTAATAACAGGTTATTTACAGGGTGCTCCTAGTCATGTGTAAGAGCAAAAATTATCCTAGTAGCATCTATTATCGGTCAAGCAGTCTTGTAGGTATCTAACTTATGTTTTTTGGGTGTATACTATAGAAATACAACCCATTGATGGGAAATTAGTATGGTATAGTACTACTTATCTGAAATATGAAACTATTATTTTTCAATATGTTTTCAGAATATTTGAATTGTTATGATCTTTTTGAAGTAAAAAATTTAAATCTCCTATTAGTATCCGGAAATTTGACCAGATAAGTTCAGTTGGGGATCAAATTTCCTGTACTGGAGAAACTATTTTCATCTTATCTAGAAACTTCCTATTCTTCGCTTTTTTTTCCGACCAATCTAACGTTTTTTCATTTGTCCAGACATTTTTTTAAAGAGGAAAAAATATATTAAATTACTGTTTTAAGTAATTAAAAAACTTAAGTGAGTTTTTAGTTTATCTCTTACGATTTTTGAGTAATTAATATATAACTATTAATACATGATTGGTATTGGAGAGGATAGGTTGCTGGGGGCAATCTCCTTCAGGTGTCAACTTTGTTGTCCATCCCTACAGGATTGATCTCTACGTCCATTTGATTGTGAATTGGTGATCTGCATGGGATGGGGAAATTCCATTCTGATTGCTATCTCTAATCTGTTGTATTGATAATGTACCGCATCAATAACTTACATATTATAAGATGATAACATCACTGTTTTTTTTTTCAGTACTTAAGTCAGAGGAAAAAACAGGAAGCGGAAGAAAAGCGTATGAAACAAAAAAAAGCACGGGAGGATTTTAAAAAAATGTTAGAAGTATGTTTTATCTGTTTCCACTTTTCTTTATAACTATGTGATATGTTGCTTCCTTTGATTGTACAATTTTTGCTAATATACAAAATTATTTTCCAGGAGTCCACAGAGTTGACTTCATCCACTAGATGGAGGTTTTTTTTCCTTATTTCATGATATTTGAATTTGATTTTTATTCTTGTCTTACATTGCCCAACTTAAATTAAGTTGATACACTTTGTCACAAGTTTTCTTTGCTATTGATTTTTTTGGATAATCACTCAGCAAAGCAGTGTCTATATTTGAAAATGATGATCGCTTCAAGGCTGTTGAGCGTGACAGAGATCGCAGGGATATGTTCGATAGCTTCTTGGAGGAACTTATAAACAAGGTGGATTCTACTTTCTCATATAATCCATTTATGGAACATATGTGCATATCTTGGGTTGTTTGACTGTTTCTTATCATATAAATATACCTATATTTGTCAATGTCAAGCATGTTAGCCTTGCTTCCGGATCGAAACTTTAGCCTACATGTGCATGTTATCTCCATTGATGATATATAATGTGTATTACTCTCTAGCATGAACAACAGCCTAATTTTTTTTTTTTTTTTTTTATGTTCATCACTCTCTTGTGGGTTATGATTTATATTAGATGTTTTCTGGATCATCAAAATTTGGTTTTGGTGATTGCTAAATTTTATTTAAAGATAAGTTGCTGCATTGGACATTACTCAATTCTGAGATGTAGCTAAATTATGTTATGGATGACAGGTAAAAGTCTGTTAAGAGTAGGAAAATGAGGGAATTGAGATGTAGAGTTTAGAAACAAAGTCAAAGTTTCCTTTTTAATGGATATGAGACCACAAGTGAAGCTTTTTTTGGCTGTGATCAGTGCATTAAACTTGCAAATCAATTGAAATGCTTTTAGTAAATATCTGCCCTGGAATTTATATTAGGAACGGGTAAGGATACAGGAGGAACGAAAGCGAAATATAATGGAATACAAGAAGTTTTTGGAATCTTGTGACTTTATAAAGGTAAATAGTTTTTTTGGTCCATTATATTTCTACAGATTTTCTTTGATATTAAATTCCATTGATGCATCCATCACGTTCTCCATAGGCTAGCACACAATGGCGAAAAGTTCAAGACCGCTTAGAGGCTGATGAAAGATGCTCTCGTCTTGAGAAAATTGACCGCTTGGAAATATTTCAAGTAACTTCCTTTATTCAACTTCTGTAAAATTAGCCTAACTCAACTTCTGTAAAATTAAATTTTTCTGTCAATCTAATTTATATTTTGCCTTTCAGGATTATTTACGTGATTTAGAGAAGGAAGAGGAAGAGCAGAAGAAGATACAGAAGGTGCTGTTATGTGGATCCTCTATATGTTATCTTTTGGACTCTACTCCCTTCCTCTCTTTTATTGAATAATCTCATGTCTGTTCTCAATCAAAATAGGAAGAATTGAGAAAGACAGAACGTAAAAACCGTGATGAATTCCGCAAATTGATGGATGAACATATCGCTTCAGGCATTCTTACAGCAAAAACTCACTGGCGTGATTATTATTTGAAGGTTAACTGTCCATCTTTATGGCTATTTATATTTATTTTTTGTTTTCAGTTCTAAAATGCAAAATTTAAACTTTCCGCTTAGTTACATAATGTTGTTACCTTGTTTCTATTTTCTGATTTGTCTTGGATAACTATTTGATTATGATGATGCCGATGATATTGTTTTGGGCGGTCTTGTAGGTGAAAGATTTACCTGCTTATCTAGCAGTGTCATCAAACACCTCAGGTTCAACTCCAAAAGACTTATTTGAAGATGTTGCTGAAGAGCTAGAGAAGCAAGTAAGTATGCTAAATTGTCTTTATGGTTGGGTTTAAGCTGTCTACTAATTTCATGAGCAAGGTTTCTTTGCAAATGCCAGACCTTCAAGTATCCTTTTATTCTTTTTCCCTCATGATTGTTTTTCAAAATTTGTAAGTTACATATTTTTTGTCCTTTTAGTAGCTCAAGTTCTAAATTTCAATTTATTGTTAAGGCAAGAAAAAGAATTGTTATCTGTTGATACTTTTTAAGTTTTAATTTCTCTTCCATTAAATCACGAGGCTTTGAACAACTTTAGCTTGAAGCATGTGTACACCCCAAAAGGATTTATATCAACCTAGATGGATTAAAGATGTCCCAGAGCAATAAAAAACCAATTTGGGTTAAATGAGAAACTTGATCACAAATCGTCTTACTATATTGAGATGGGTTGTTGCTTGACTCAAATGAGCTGGATGATTTATACCTTTATGCACCCTAAAAAATTTTACCATTGAAAAAAGTGGTTCTCACAAATTGCCAATTTTCCTTATTTATGTCGTGCAGTATAGTGAAGAAAAGAGTCAAATAAAAGATGCGGTGAAGTTGTCAAAGGTATGATGTATCAATCTTTTGTGGTTTCTGTATAACAAGTGTTTTCTGATGTGTACGATGTTATCACAATTCTCAGATCACATTGTTGTCAACCTGGACTTTTGAAGACTTCAAATCAGCTTTATCAAAAGACATTAGCTCTCCATCTATATCTGAATTCAACTTAAAGGTAGGTACATCAGTGCGACACACGCACAGACACACATATATATTTACCCTCTTTTTTTATGCATTCCAGTTCTGAATTTCTCTACATGTCTCGGTACTAATTGCAAGTTTGTTTATCATAATGAATGGTGCCTCGATCTTTTCTTATGTAACTAATTTGCCCACAGTTATGCTTGAACTTGTGGTTTTTTCTTCTCATGCTTATTGTGGGCATCCTTTGGTTGAGAATACCAGTAAGATCGACCCAGCATCCAATTTCGATCATCCTCCTTTTGAGCCATTGCTATTAATGAATAAAGGTCCCTTGTACTTATCAACCCCCTACTCAGCCTTCACCTTATACTTCAATCCACTCATGAATACCCTCTGTGTGTGAAATCCTAATTGGCATAATGGAATGGAGCTCAAAGGAGTCTGAATTGCTTGCAATACTCCATGATTGACTTCCTTGCTGCAATCTGATTGACATTTTGTTTGGACCTTCATATGAGGCAATTGAGACCTCCCTAGGGTCCATGGCGGAGTGCCGGCTAAGTCATCACCCTCATCTGTGGTTACCACCCCATAAAATATGGTAGCTTGATTTGATTTATGTTTGAGGCTTCTATCCAGTGCAAATATCTAGGTCATAACTTCTAGGCATCCTTTGCCACTCATATGAAATGTTAGTAGACTCTAAAAAATGAACACCTGAAATGCTGGTATACCCCTATTAAATGATTAAACCATTCAATTGGTTTCGAACTGCTTTCTCTTGGTCTAGATTAGTTCAAATGAGTGTTCTTACTCAACATGACAATTAATTGAAGAAAAAGTTGGAAATCTTATTTTTATGATAATTGGGGATGGTCCAAAATTGTTCTCTTTTGTCTCTTCATATCTATGTTTGTCTTTTATAAATATAATTTGTTTACCATGGTGAGTGAGACTGTCCTCAATTTTCTCTTGATTCATTGTGGTGAGGGACTTGAATGCTATAAATGTATACTATAAATCTTGAATTTTTTAGAGTTTAATTCTAATAATTCTTGATTCCGAACCATATCTGGTCTGATGCTCTGCTATCCTACAGCTAGTGTTTGATGAGCTACTAGAACGGGCTAAGGAGAAGGAGGAGAAGGAAGCTAAGAAGCTTAAACGTCTTGCAGATGATTTCTTTCATCTACTATATTCTACTAAGGTGCAGTATTGTGGACATCAACTTATAGGTGCTGTCATATTATAATGGATGGGCAATAAGGAATATTGTTTTTGCTTTTGTTTTGCTACTTCGTTGCAGGACATTACCTTGTCTTCAAAGTGGGAGGACTGTAGACAACTTGTTGAAGATAGCCAAGAGTTCAGGTCTGGATTATGATAATTTTAACCTTGAAACTTAAATTATCTTTTCCTCTTTTCTAATATTTCCAAAACTGGTCCTGTCATTGAACTGCTGAAGGAAGAAGTTCAATGTTTTGAGGTCCAAATGGGATTGAACCGGGGTTTTATATTTCCATGCATATTTATTAATTTGTAACAATAACCATGTATATATATAAAAACTAGCATATATATCTTAAGTGGATAGGTAAAATAATAATAAAAAAGACTATAATATCTTATGATCATCAAATTGCTTCATGACATATTAAAGGGCAGCTTGGTGCCATAAAGCTCTTGCTATGCGCAGGGTCTAGGGAAGGGTCTATAGTACGGAAGGATATATAGTAGCCAGCCTTGCCTTGCAAGTGTAAGAGGTTGATTTACATGTGATCTTTGGATCACATGACAATAATACCAGTCGTTATGCCAAGTTCCCCTTCTTGTCTTCATGACACATTGCAGAAGTAATAAATATATCTTACACTATATAAATATCTAGGGAAATCATTGTCTCATTTTACATGAGATAACTATCTCATGTTTCTCTCACATAAAAAGTTATGACATCATTTTTTTCTTTTTTCTTTTTTCTTTTTTTAATGGATGGTGGGCTCCACCATATTATGTATCTATTGTAGGAGATACTTATCTCCTACAACATGAGAAAAATAAAACCCAAATATCTGTACCTATATGTTATAGATTAAATCAATATCAACATCAACAACACCTTTATCCCAAATTAATTGTGGTCGATGGTAGATGAACCCAAATAAAAGATACGAAAAGGTTGAAAAAAGAAAAAGAAAAAGAAAAAGAAAAATAGAAATAAATAAATAAATAAAATAGTAATATATATATATATATATATATAAAAGTAAAAAAGAAGGGGAAAAGAAGAAGAGGGGAAAATAAAGAGGAAAAGGACTAAAAAGGGACCATTTGGAACATAGGAATAACAGCGGGTCTAACCCTCCACCATGCTTATAGCTTTTCTCCATTCCGTTCTAAGGCATACCGTCCGCCAATCTATATCCCACTCCATTAAATTTTGTTTTACTACCTTCCCCTAAGTAAGTTTCGGTCTACCTCTACCTTTTTTTGTGTTGAGCTCTTGGTAACAAACTTTTGTTCTTACGGGAGCATCCAGGGGCCTTCTCATTACGTGCCTAAACCACCTCAATCTATGTTCTCTCATCTTTTCAGCCACCAGTAGTACTCCTACTTTTCGTCGAATATCTTCATTTCTTATCTTATCCATCCTCGTATAACCACACATCCACCTTAACATTATCATCTCTGCTACTCTCATTTTATGCTCATGTTGCCTATGTGCTGGTCAACATTCAGCTCCATATAGTATTGCAGATCTTACTGCTGTTCTATAGAATTTTCCTTTTAACTTAAAGGGGATTTTGCGATCACACAAAAACCCAGATGCACTACGCCATTGCATCCACCCTGCTCTGATTCTATGATTTACATCCTTATCAATCTCTCCACCTTTTTGCAAAATGGATCCCAGGTATCTAAAAACATCTTTCTTGGGTACCTCTTGACCACTATGCACGGGATATTGGACTACATCTCTTACCAGAGAGAACTCACACTTCAAATACTCAGTCTTGCTCCGACTTAATGTGAATCCTTTAGATTCCAACGTGCTTCTCCACAATTCAAGTTTTCTATTAACACCGTCTTTGTTCTCATCAATAAGCACAATATCATCTGCAAAAAGCATACACCATGGCACTTCCTCTTGAATATCTTTTGTTAGTTCATCCATAACTAAGGCAAAGAGATAAGGACTTAGAGCCGAACCTTGGTGTACACCTATCATGATAGGAAAATAACTTGATGTTCCGTTACAAGCTTTCACACATGTAGTACCCCATCATACATATCCTTGATTGCCTTTACATACTTTGATGGTACTTTTTTCTTCTCAAGAACCGACCATAACACTTTCCGTGGAACCCTATCGTATGCTTTCTCAAGTGTTGAGATATATAGTCCCACATTGGTTGTATGTGCAACTAATGTGGAGTTTATAAGGTCTTGGGCACTCTCACCCTTTGAGCTAGCTTTTGGGGTGGTGTATCCCAAGGTTCTTAACATGGTATCAGAGCCTCGCCGCCCCCCACTTTCTTATGTGGCGTTTCTTAGCACAGGTAGGTTGGGCCTGTTGCATTATCCACTCTTCAAGCCCAATGGGCTCTTGTGTGAGGGGGCGTGTTGAGATATATAGTCCCACATTGGTTGTATGTGCAACTAATGTGGAGTTTATTTGGTATCAGAGCTCTCGCTTCCGCATATATATCTTTTCCTTTCTTTTTACTGCCGTGCATCATACCGGCAACCATCCTTTCACACCTAACCCTTATTTAGTCACAAATTTTTTGTCCTCAACCTCGTATCATCAGGAAAAAGATCGCCAGCCTCCGTTCATCGCCGGAAACCGCCACAAAACCACCGTCCGCCACTGTTCACCGCCGTCAGACTGCTTTTCCGACCAACCACCACGCGATTAGGAGCGGCTCAGGGAGGCGACCCTGTCTGTCCATGCCGCGTGTTGATCGGAGCATCCACGCGCCGCCACGCGCCGGTGGAAGTCTCCGGCGGCCGAACCACTGTTCCGGCGCGTGAGGCACCGTCCGGCCACCGTTCCAGGCCGGACCACCACCATCTTGCTCGCCTCCTCACCCTCTTTCCAGATCTGGTCTCCGTTCGTTGTGGGTCCCATCCGTTTGAAAGATATCAGTGAAAAACCTGTTGTTTGGACACTTTTGTGCAACTTTTTTGCGCGATTTTTTGCTTTCTTGTAGTTCTTTGCTATTTTCTGGTCATCTCCTTTTATTTTGTGATGGAGGGCTCAAATAATGCGTCCAAAAACACGACTGGCATCATCTCCGGTACTACCCCATCTCCATTCTTTTCTCAGGCCAGTGATTCCAATTGGAACAGTGGACGCGGTCGCAGACGTGGCCGCAGACAGAGGCCTCGTTGCAATTATTGCCAGAATCTTGGGCATTTTGAAGAACGCTGCTATAGGAAGTACCCTGATTTGAAGCCACCGACTGCCAACTTTGCTCAAACTGATGTTACGCTACCTTCAACTGGATTAGTAACTCTTTCAAGTGCCGACTATAAGGCACTTCTCAAGAAGGTTTCTTCTCAGCATCCTACTCAAGACACTGGTAATCATGTTGCTTGTTTTTATCAATCATCTCTTGGACCCTGGATAATAGACTCAGGTGCTACTCATCATCTTTGTGGTAATAAAGATCTCTTCACTTCACTTTCTTATTCTAATAACCTACCCCCTGTCACTCTTGCTGATGGCACTAAGGCTCCTGCTCGTGGAATTGGGGAAGCCAACCCAACTCCCCTTTTAACTTTGAGTTCTGTTTATTATATACCTGGCATTCCTTTTAATTTAATCTCTGTTAGCCAGTTGATTCATTCTCTTTCATGTACTATTACCTTCTCTAAACAATCCTTTTCTATGCAGGATTCGGGTACGGGGAAGACGATTGTAGCAGGCGTTGAGTCACGAGGTCTCTACTATCTGATTGCACCACCTTCTCCAGTAGCCTGTTCTCTCACAGAGTCTCCTGAGCTAATTCACAGCCGTCTGGGTAATCCAAACCTCTCCAAGCTTCAGCATATGGTTCCCTTTTTATCCAATCTTAAGTCTTTAAACTGTCATTCTTGTCAGCAAGGAAAACACACTCGCTCCTCCTTTGCTAATAGAGTCAATAAAAGAACTGATGCTCCTTTTTCTATTGTTCATTCTGATATTTGGGGTCCGAGTCGAACAATGTCTGTTTTGGGTTTTCAGTATTTTGTCACCTTTATTGATGATTTCTCCCGTTGCACTTGGGTTTATTTAATGAAAAATCGTTCTGAGTTATTTTCAATTTATCAAAAGTTTTGTGCAGAAATAAAAATTCAATTTGGTGCTTCGATTCAAATCTTGCGCAGTGATAATGCAAAAGAGTATGTGTTTCTTGAATTTTCTAAATTTCTGGATACACAAGGGACGATACACCAGACTACCTGTCCCCACACTCTACAACAAAATGGAGTCGCTGAATGTAAAAATAGACATCTAGTTGAAACTGCACGTACCCTTCTCATTCATATGAACGTCCCACTTCGTTTTTGGGCAGATGCTATTATCACCTCATGTTTCCTTATCAACCGCATGCCCTCTTCTGTGCTAAATAATGACGTTCCCCACAGTATTTTGTTTTCCGGAGCACCTTCTTATCCTCTGCCTTTACATATTTTTGGCTGTACTTGTTTTGTTCATGATTTTACTCCAGGTAAAGACAAGTTGACATCCAAGGCCTTCAAATGTATTTTCCTTGGGTATACACCTTTTCAAAAAGGGTATCGTTGCTATTCTCCTGATCTCAAGCGTTATATCGTTTCTGCTGATGTCACTTTCCTTGATCAGCAGCCTTTTCACTCTACTCCGTCTCCAGTGTCCCAAGTTGACCAGGTCCTTCCTGTTCCTTTTCTTGACTTGTCTTTACCAGCTGCAGGTGACCCTATTCCAGAGGAGCAACCAATTACCTCCATACCTGCAGATCGTCCTCTCCTCACATACCAGCGTCGTCAGCCTGCACCTCCTCCGACTTTGCCTCTTGATGACTCATTGCCCTTTCCCGTCTGCTCTTCTCCTCCGGATCCTCCATCAGAGACTCCTCCCATTGCCCTTCGGAAAGGTATTCGATCCACTCGAAATCCTCATCCCCTTTATTCTTTATTGAGTTATGACAGACTTTCTTCACAACATTTTACTTTTGTTTCTAGTCTCTCTTCTGTTTCCATCCCTAAAACCACAGGTGAAGCACTATCTCATCCAGGGTGGCGCCAAGCGATGCTTGATGAATTGCAGGCACTTCACTCCAATGGCACTTGGGATCTTGTTCGTGCTCCTCCCGGGAAGTCTGTTGTTGGTTGTCGATGGGTGT